AAGAACCAAGAGAGACTATGTAAAGGTGCACATTTCCAATGATGAATGTCATTATATTGTATACCTAAAAGGTACCAATGATTAGAACGAATAAGTGATAATGCAAAATAGGAAGAAAAGGTCCAAAGGGGTAGGGGGAGGAGAAAGGAAAGTAGGGAAAGGAAAAATGATGAGAAACAGAAAAAATGCAAACAGTCTTTGTAAATAGGGAAGTGTGGAGGGGGTGAATGGAGGACTGGGAATGGGGAAAAAATAAGAATCAAGATGTATCATGTAAAGGTACAAGTTCCCAATGAGAAATGTAAATGTATTGCATACCTAAAATGTACCAATAAAAGAATTTAAATAAAAATAAAAATAAAACTGAAGGTGCTTTTCTGGCATGTGAACTAGCTGCCAGGTTGCACAGCAAAACCCTTGACTTTGCATTATCTATTCTGGCAAGAAGCAAGATTGTAACATGATTCTTCCCAGAATAGCCTTGCTTTTCAAAACAAAAACTGCCATAAACTACTCAATATATCACAGCTATCAGCTAATAGACATGAAAGTTTTCTAGCAAACCAAATCCATAAAAATCACTAAGTCATTTCTTTCAAAGAAACATGAAGGAACAAGGAAAAGAAATCAATGAGAGTGAAGCCAGTCTTAGAGATACCAGTTTATTTGACATAGTGCATGATTCAAAGTATCTGACATTCCTTAGCCAACATTTCCTACTTCTCTATTACAAAATACTGGGTACCCTGAATATAGGTAATTCACGGGCTTCATTCTTTTTCTCCTATACCTAGATTAAATAGGTTTCCCCATTTAGTACACATTTCACATTCACAGAAGGCTTTGGGGAGAGAGGGTAATAGGACTTACAATTGCCCCTCTGAGCCAAAGGCACTTAATGTTAAAAGATAAAGCACAGTAGAGTCACCCCACAGACATTCCTGTATGTTCAGAGCACTGAACATTAATATACCATCACTGGTCCATGTGGGATTCATCATAACAATGGAAAAGACACTGATTTCCTTGGAAAAACAAAGTGCAATATGAATATAAAGGACTCACCCCCCACACCCTTTTCTGAAAAATAATACATAAGAGAACTTTTACTTTACATGATTAGTATCACCCTAGCGTCACACATGGAAAAAAATAGCTAAAAAATAATCTGTGATAAATTCTCACTATGCAATCACAATAGAATCTGATATCACTCATAGAATCTGTAAGTTTGAAACAGCCTCAAAGATGATGCTGTCCATCTCCTCATTTGATAAATAGGAAACTATCAAAAACAGGTTGGTTTCCCATTCTTCTTTCAAAGGTTCACAAAAGGAAAATATGGCAATGATATCCAAAGATGCACCACACAATAAAGCACAGGCACTGACACAGGTCAGTGATTTGGTCTCACAAGACGGTTCCTTTGGCCATTAGGCAGACATGTAACCCACCTCAGGGTGGGGGTTCTTTGCACAAGGTTATTAAGTGTTCTGAGGGAAACCAAGTGCAGGTTAGAAATAACTTCTTGGATTTGGGAAGGCTCTTCTTAACTGTCAGTCCGCAGTGGGCAGGTGGTTGGCTGCACAGCGGAATCCCAGATTTGATGCAGAGCTATCGGGTGTGTTCTGGCTTCGAGCAGCACAGCGATACCTATAGCAATAGGACTGCACAGAAAGAAGAAGTAAGGTGAGTGCCACTGGGAATCTCAGCTCAGAGCCTGTGGGTTCTAAACTGTCAGATGTATGCTGTACAAAGGTACCAGCTAAGAAGAAGTTATGTTGACCTGTGGATGCAGCTTCCCCACAAAGCTCCCCCGTGGATACTTAATGTGTATGCTTTGCAAAGGTCAACACATTCAAGAATCAGCCACATATCTTATAAATACAATACACAGTACACAAAGAAGTTGGGGTTGCCATTACATATAACAGAAAAAAATCTGCAAAATCCATGGTTATGTTAATATAACAGAATAGTCAGCAGTCATTGCAAATCATGTTTTTAAGCAATATTTAAGGACATAAGAAATTCTTATGATTAAGACATTAAATTTAAAAGCTAGAATACAAAACAATGTATGTGTAGTGACATCAATCTATATAATCACAGATAACAAGGGGAAAAAAGATTAGAAGATTCAGAACACACCAAAATATGCACAGTAATTATTCTTATGCAGTGGGGTTTCAAATCTCCTATGATTAGTATACACTAATTTTTTACACTATAAGAAATACTGAAGATAAACAGCAAGCAAGAAAATATTAATTGAAACATTAAGATATCATTTATTATTCAGTAGACTGGCAAAAATTAAACAGCAAGCTTATGTCCATCAATGTTGGAAAACGTTTTTTTCATGCTTTTGGAGTTTAAATCATAGTAACTTGTAAAGCTACACTTTTTTGTGTGTAGTCAGTTTTGCTTCTGTGTAATTTTAGGAGTAGAGTACAAGTATACACTTGCACACAGACACTGAGCACCTAGAACACACTCCGCGTGGTGTTGGACACTTTTGTCTGTTATTTCATTTGAACCTAATACCCCAGAGACACTAAACAGGTTACCCAAGGTGACACAGTTGTTAAAAGAACAGAATTCCAATCTGAGTCTAACTGTGATGTGGCTGCTTCCCTAGCAAAATTCTGTGGTACCCTAGAGGGAATGGTACCATATCTCACATCTTCTATTCCACCACCCAACAAACAAGTCCTGCATGCACACATGCATTCACACAAACACACAGGACATATCTGCCTAACACCTATCTATAGCTACATAGTAGGTATTCAGTGAATGACCTTAGATTACTTGCTACAAATACTTCAAAAGTTTCCAGATTCTAAAAGTAACCATACATGGAACTCTTGCTAGGTTTGTTCTTTGATCCAAATAAGAAAATGAAAATAAACTAGTCATCCTGTGTACCATGAGCATAAATGCAGAGTTGGCCCAGTGAAACTCAAATCCCTGCCAGCTGGTTAAAGAAACTGCAAAAAGAATCATGTAGAAAAAGTTTGAAATCATGAGGAAGAGATAATTTGTGGGGAGGATAAATAGGTCAGGCTGCAAAATATTTTTGAAAATTCCTATTATTTTTTTCGCTCCAAAAGTCAAATGCTTCTAATCTTCATAAAAATTATCTCTGAAGTTGACATGGAAATTCTCTAGAGCATTTCCACCATAAAAAGAAAGATACAATAGTTTCTCTTCTATAGAGTAAAATAATAGCAACCAATTTTCTCATTTTCTTTGTGGCCAGTGAAGAATATATTACCAATTCTCAGGTGGACAGAGAGAAGATGAATAAAAAATGTGCTTGCAATAATAATAAAAAAATGATGGTTACCATGAGTAATCCACATGCAATAGAAGTCCTCAAAGGGCTATAAGCAACCATGCAGAACGACAGAGCAGAAACCTCATTCTATGTAGGGTCTACTCATGGAGCTGCTATATAACAACAGTGCCTTGGTATTTTGACAATCAAGCTCCTACAAATAATCGAGGGTATCTATGCAACCAAGCAGTGAATTCTACACTATAGCATGGATCAAGTACAGAGGGAGGTAGACAAACAGATGAATGACTTTGACATTCTTGTCCCATGACTATACCACATGTAACAAAAAAAAAAAACCAAGCATTTCCTTACTGCCTATTCTGTGTACCCAATGAGAAGATCCAAGCCTAGGCCTGGTCCTGCCTGGCTGGGGACTACAGGCTGGTTGAAGAAACAATGGCAATGCATTAAACAGCTAAAAAACATGCTAGGATTAAACAACACTGGGCTTATAAGCAATTCAAATGAAAGAACTACTGAAAGCCCAAGTCTTTAGGAAAGACTTGTGGAAGGTAGTACTTGATCCAAGTGGGACATACATGATTATGGCAATGGTTCTCAGAACTTACTATACACAAAACCAACCTGGAGAGCTTAAGTACATATCTCTAGGACACACACCCAGAGATTCTGAGTCTATAAATTGGATGGGACCCAAGAACCTGCATTCCTAACAAGCTTCTAGGTACTCTCAGGGCTATACCCCATGGGCACACTTTGAGAAGCATCAATTTATAGGACTTTTAGAAAGAAAGGAAGAGGGCAGATTACATGGGAAAAAACTATGTCAAAACCATGAAAACGGAAAATTCAGAAGTTCAAAGGACAGTAAGACCATAGCCTGGTAACGCCACAGCACAGTTTATTTATTCATTAAATATAGGAGAGCTTGTAACATTCAAGGTGCTATTTTAGGTACAAGGGATATACTCAGAGCATGACAAACAAGGTACCTGTAATCAGGGAGCTGACATTCAATAGAGAGTAATCAGACAATAAATAGATCAATAAATTCAAAAATGTTTCTGGTAGTAGTCATCTCTGAAGAAAGTAAAATAGGGAGAAAGGGCTGATAGGGACAGTGGCTACTCTATAAAAGGTGGTCTGGAAGGGCCTCTATGAGGAGGAGACATCTGAGCTGCATTGACCAGAGGTTTGGAAAATGGGAATTTCAGGCAAAAGCTATTACTGGTACAAAAATAGTTATACTGTTAAGTGGCAGGCAATGAGGGTGGATAAATAGGATGGAGGGACATTACAGTCTTCTCAACAGACAAGAGTTTGGACCTGATACAAATGAAAATTGTGACAAATATTTTGCTAATTTACTCAGCAGCAAGGGCAAAATGCAAGGCTTATTAGCTCTTTAGCCTTAGGCAAATCTTTTCTGAATTTGTTCTCTCATGGATAAAATGGAGCTGTTTGAGGAATTAACACTTCATCTTTATTTTTACATAAAAAAGTAAAGCACTTGACATTGTATCATTACTATTATTATTAATCACAACCTTAGTTTGCTGAGTGTATCTGACCTCCCTGGGCCTAACCCGCTTCCTTACTGAAAACCACAGAAGCATTAGCCAGCTTTTCAACAGCCTTAGCAATCCTTGCTAGACTGTGAGATGATGATACCCCTGCTAGCATCTGAATGTGAATATACATGTACTACCAAAATGTGCAAAGTTTTATTTGCTGTATAAGTGGGAGTGCTCTGCTGATACGGTATAGGACTTTGGTTTTTGTTGAATGAAATACATCTATAAAACCTAGGATGTAACAACTCTGATGAATTGTCATAACTTGCTCAGAGCGCTGTGTTGAGAAATATTCTGTAGCTGTGACACAGGAGAGTAGAGATCTATGATATGTGAGAGATTTTTTATCATGGCCATATATAAAGACCCTGGGTATGTACAAAATAATTATATTCTTGAAAAAATAATAAAAATGCAAAACAAATTCTGGTAGAATATTATCAACTTTTCCTTGGGAAGCAAGATGGTTTTTATTTCATTTATATCTTTATTAATGTTCTAATTTTTATGCAATGAAAATGTTTTATTTATATAATAAGCTTTAAAACAACAACAAAGAGTTCATTATTATATCACACTAACCCAAGACCTTCCATTAACCAAAATGACTATAAAAAACTAAATCAGAAAAAGCAAGTCTTACTACAAAAGTTAGTATTGATTAGCCTCATCACTTGCAAAGAATCAATTCACACTATAATTCCATTTCAAATACACTCATTCACTCAGCAAATATTTATTAATAAGGCATTCATTTTAAATTTCAATAACAGGCAACTAATAAAACACACAATTAAAGAAGTAAATGGCCTAATTATAAATGTCCTCATTGTTCTTTTTTTTTTTTTTTTTTCTGACTCTACTTTTAGCACCAAAACTGGTTCTTAAGGATGTGAAGTCTTTGGGTGGCTGAAAAATAGGTCATTCTATTAATTAAGAACAGCAGTAGTACAAAGGGCCTGTTTTAGCCATTTTTCATCAAAACGGCTAATTACTGTTTTAAATTGATCTCAATATTTGTGCTAAGAATGTAATGATGAACTTAGGAACAATCCATTTAAGATAATAATTTACCATCCTTGGGGCTTTGAAGTCAAGTGAGACAGCAATATGGTTTTTACAAGAGAATGACTTTTCAGGATACAGGGCATTTTTTAAGTAGCTGTAACTCATATGAAATAAAACCATTATCAGGAACCACATACTAGATCTCAGGTCTCTTGGTTTCCTATCCATTGCTTTCTACTGACACTAGATCAACACATTTCCTCTCACCTTGGCAAGATGGTGAGCACGTCCTCAATGCTGTGGACTGGGGTGAAGACCCATAGGGATTAATCTGACAACACCAACAGCTACAACTAGCATTTCTTGTATGTAAACTGCTATGTAAACTGCTCTAAGATCCTTACAAGTATTAGCTCATTAATTCTCCTAATAATCATATGAAGAAGGTATTAGGATCTGCATTGTATACATGAGAAAAAACTGAGGCCCATTGGCATTAACAGTGTACACAGGCTCACACTAATAGATCCTGATTCCTGACTATTTTACCTCATTCCAGAGTCTGTGCTCTTATCTGGACCCTATACTGCCTCATAGTTTCTCTTTCTATGCTTTCATCTCCTTAATGAAATTTTGTGTTAGATTTTCAAAAAGTTATGAATGACCATCAGAGTTTACTTTAGCCATGCAAACACTCTGACCCATGATAAAAAATAAGTCCTTTCTTTTATTGATTTTTTCACCTGTTCTATGAGCAACATTTCTACTTAAGAACTCGAAGTTCTTTTTTTTGTTGTTGTTCTTTCTTCAAAAGAGAAGGGGGAAAATAATTTAATTATAATAAGGATAATGGTTAAGAATGATGATAGGAGTAACTAAATTTTACTGAGCTTTCTACCAAATGTAATATGTAACTATGTGTGTCATTCACAATATGTAAATATGTGTCATTTATTCCTCATAAGAACCATACTTTGGACACAATTATGATGTGTATTTTACAAAATGTGACAGCTGAGGATTAGAAAAGTTAAGTAATTTGTCCAAGATCATACAACTAGCAAGAAGCAATTACAGAACTCCAAAACTTGATATAATTTCAAAACTTACATCTTAATAATTTAGTAAGAGCTGCCACTCTGAATCTAGTGGAAAAGCTAAAGCACTTGCTAATGTTCAATTAATAATGAGCTGTTTTTCTGACCTCACTGAAATGACAACACCAATATCAAACACCTAATCATGAACAATTTACTTACCAAGATCCTGAAAATGCCATTTTTCTCTGAAAATCCCGTGTATTCCATTCAGTTTTATTACTCAGCTATGCTTTTCTCTTGGCATACTCTCACCATCACTCTGAGCCTGACTAAATTAAAACTTATCCTTCCGGTAAACTAGGAAAAATTAAAGATGTATAGTATAAATTCTAAATCAACTACTAATTATAAAACAAAGAGTTACAAGTAATCAGCCATAGGAGAGAAAATGGAAAGATAAAAAATACTTATCTAAAAAGGAAAAGAAAGAATAGAGAAGAAAAAAAGAAAACCATAATCATATTCATAATCTCATTAACTATAATTGGCATAAATACCCAGTGAAAAGGCAGACATTCATAAATTCAGCAACTCAGATGAAGGATAAATTTCTTGAAAGACAAATTATCAGAGCTTAATCAAGTAGAAACAGACAACCTACAGAGACCTGCATCTACTAAATGAATTAAATTTACAGTTACAACTTTCTCTGGTTTCCGTGTGTCCCCCAAGGCTTCATGTGTTAAAATATAATTTCCATTGTGAGGTACTGAGGGCGGAAAATTAATTCCACAATGGTATTTGGAAGTGGAGCCTTTGGGAGGTGATTAGGATTAGGTAAAGTCATTAGGGTAGACTCCCTGAATCTTAGTGGTTTTATAAGAAGGAGAAAGGCCCAAAGACAGAAAGACAGGCCTGCTCACACACAAGTACATGCTCTCTGTCCTTTGCCATGTGATCCCTTACACTACCTCAGGACTCCACCAGCAAGAAGACCACTACCACATGGGAGCCCTCAACCTTGGACCTCCAAAACCATGAGCCAAAATAAATCTCTTTTTTCAACATGTTAGTCTGCTTCAAGTATTTGATGATAGTAAGGAAAATAAGACTGATACACTACTTTATGCTCAAATGCTTTCACTGGGGAATTAAATCAACCATTTCAGGGAGAAATGCATGAACTCTTCCTGAAAACTGAAGATAAGGAAATATTTTCCAATTTAATCTATGAGCAGAGAAATACCCTTATACCAAAACCAGAAAAAGGTATTTCAAGAAAACAGTGACTTAATATTCACCACAAATTAAATGCAAAAATGTGCAACATTTTAGCAAACTGTATCCAAAATATATAAAATATGAATCATGACTGAGTGGGATGCAGCCCAAGGACAGTTTAATAAGTGAAAATCAATCAGTGTAAGTCACCATATTAACAGATTGAAAAAGAAGAACTATATAGTCATCTTAATAGATGCAGAAAAGTATCTAGCAAAATGTGTATCTATTGCTAAATTTTTTTTAAAAAGAAAACCCTCACAAAACTAGGGTCTTTAATCTGATAAAGGGCATTTATGAAAAAACTATAGCTAATATCACACCTAATTTTAAAAACTTGAATGTTCATTTCCTGAGATCAAGAATACAGTATAGCTGGGGAGAGTAACACATGCCTGTAATCCCAGCACTTGAGAAGCTGAGGCATGAGGATTGTCCCGAGTTTGAGGCCATCCTGGGCTATACAGTGAGTTCAAAGCTAGCCTGAACTACATAGTGAGAGCCTGCCCCCCACCCCCCAAAAAAGGATGCAGTATAAACATCTATTCTTATTAATTCTATTCAATACTATACTTGACATATAGACAATGTAATATAGGAAGAAAAAATTATTAAACACATCTAGACTGAAAGGGAAGAAGTAAAATGGTCTACAATCAATGACTTTATGATCACTTTTGTAAAAATCTGTTAAGATTCCACAAAAACATTGTAGATAAGTTTAGCAAGGCTGGGAGGATATAAAGTAAATACACAAAAGTCAATTATACCCTGTAAGTGTATAAAAGCATATTTTAAGTTGAAAAATATTTCTAAAAGACAATTAGGAAGCTTATGAAAATGTAAATTAAAAACAAGCTTAAAAAGTATTAAAATGGACACATTCATAATCATGAAATTGGCATATTTTAGTTATCTTTACTTGTTTAAAATGTTGTGGGGGTTTGTTTTGTTTTGTATTTTAAACTTATTATTGATAAAAATTCTTCTGGTCCCCAATAACTTTGAGAGTAACAGTTTCTCAGTTAAGAAAAGTATCCTTTTAACCAGACCTATAACTAGTAGCAATTGGGGTTTTCAGATATTATTATACAAGACAAAGTGACCTGTTTTTTCATGGAAGCTTGGCTCCCCGGCAAGATGATCCAAGAACACTTACAGTGTCAACTTCAATTAGACAATCTAGGACTAATGACTGTGACCTGTAATGAAAACATGTACTGTATCAGGAAGACCTGACATATTAAATTAAATTAAATTAAATGTTTTTAATTTAAAATAAGATTTTAGAGTCGTTCATACCTGTAGTTCCTGCAACTCAGGAGGCTGATGCAGTAAGACTGCTTGAGCCTAGGATTTTGAAGTCAGTCTTAGCAGCATAGCAAGACCTCATGAATGAATGAATGAATGAATGACTTTATACAGTTAAATTTGTCCACATCTTTTTATAAATGTAAATGCAAAACACAAACTGAACTCAAGTCTATCAACTTGCATCTGAGCCGATATATTAAAAATTCTTTTAAGAGGGGAATGCAACTGCATGATGCCACATTCATCCCCAGCCAACTCCACATCATAGATTCCATCCCCTGACCATATCAAACTACTAATTTCTAGCTGGTTCTACATTTTGGTTCCCCTCAGCACAGGGCCACAGAGGTGACAACTGATCAAGCTGATTAGGTGACAAGGCCAACTCACTGAGAAAAAAGGTAAGCTCCAAAGAATTGGCAGCTTCAGGGAGAAAGGACAGATGGGCCCCAAGAAAAGCCTACAGCTGCTGCAAACTGCAAAAACAATGTGGGGTTTTATCCTGAGAGTTACTTCTTTATGACAAGACAGAGCTGGAGAAGAAAAGTAGTGCAGTGCCTGCCATATTGCCAGAGAGAATTTAATCAGGCACCACTTTGGGAAGGGGTTGATTGTGTGGGCCTAAGCCACAAAACAACTACACTATAATTTCACTCCGGGATTTTCAGTGCTACTGCACCTCAGTGACTGAGTGAGAGTAGCCACACAGGAGACGGACGTGGAGAGGGTCAAAGGTAGATACAGATCTTCTGAGAAGTTCAAGTTCAGGCCAGGAAGGACATGGGCAAGCACTCTGTGGTGGGAGGTTACTGGATTTAAGAGGTGGCTGGATCTGAAGATAACGGTATTGAGTCCACCAGTCTGCTTGAGGCCTGCCCTGCTGCCTATATCCAACAGAGACCTGTAGTCAGACCGCTTTCCTCTTCACATGCATCAGTTTCAACATTTGCCATGGACTGGGGTTTATAGACAGAGTGGCATATGTATCAAGGTGGCCTCTCTCACAAACCCACATAATAATCTCTTCAAATTCTTGTTATTTGAATTTTTCTAGGTAACATATATGAATTTCATGCAAAAATTCAAAAAATTATAATCTCTGACATAAATGGGCTAATAGCCAAATTCAGCAATATAGCAGGATATAAAATCAATACAGTTCCTGTACAACAATAATGAATACATTGAGAAAGAAATTAGAAAAACAATAGCATTCACAATAGCATCAAGAACAATGAAATACTTGGAAATTAACCTAACCAAGGAAGCAAAAGTCCTCTACAACAACAACTATGCACTTTCAAAAAGAGAAGATTGAAGATGTCAGAAAATGGAAAGACATCCCATTCTTAGACAGGCAGAACCAATATAGTCAAAAGGGCCATAGTTCTAAAACTAATATATAGATTTAACATAATTGCAATCAAAATACTTACAGCATTCCTCACAAATCTAGAGAAAACAATCCTAAGATTCATATGGAATCTTAATCAAAAGAGACCAAGAACAGCAAAAGCAATCCTGGGTAACCAGAGCAAAGCAGAAGGTATCACAATCCCAGATTTGAAGTTATATTACAAAGCTATAGTGATAAAAACAGCATGGTAGTGGCACAAACACACACATGTGGATCAACAGAGCAAAACAGAGGATACAGAACAACTGCAGGCACATTTAGCTGTTTGATCTTTGACAAAAGGGCCAAACACATACACTGAAGGTATGTAGATAGCCTCTTTAATAAATGGTGCTGGGAAATTTGCTATCCACATGTAGAAGATTGAGTCTAAATCTGTATTTCTTACCATGTACGAAACTAAAATCAAACTGGATCGAAGATCTAAATGTTAAAACAGTACTACTTAATCTGCTGGAAGATAAAATAAGTAAAACTTTTGAAGACATAAAGGCAAGGACTTTCTGAACAGAACCCCAGTGGCACAAGAAACATTAACAAGAATCAACAAATAAGATTCTATCAAGTTGAAATGCTTCTGCACAGCACAAGAAATAACCAACAAAATGAAAAAAACTACCTACAGAATGAGAAAACATTTTTGCCAGCTAATCCTCAGACAGAGGACTCATACTTTGCAAAATTAGACCCCCACAAACAAAAGATCCAATCAAAAAATGGGCAGTTGAAATGAACAGACACTTCTAAAAAGCGGAAGTACAAATGTCCAATAAATACATGAAAAAAAGTTCAACATCTCTAGCCATTAGAGAAGTGCAAATTAAAACAGCAGTGAGATTCCATCTTACTCCATAAAGAATGGTTATCATCAAGAAATCAAATAATAAAAAATGCTGGTGAGGCTGTGGGGGAAAAAAATGAACCCTTCCCTTTTTTAAAAAGAAATGAACGCTTTTACATTGTTGGTGAGAACGTAAGGGTACAAGCACTATGAAAATCAGCATGGAGATTCCTCAAAAAAACTACAAATTCCATTTGACCCAGCTATTCACCTTGTAAGTATCTTCCTAAAAGAATTAAAGACATCATATTACAGTAATACATGCATACTCATGTTTATAGCAGCAGAATTCATAATACCTAAATCTTGGAAATGGCCTATATGCCCATCAACAGATGAATAAAGAAAACATCATATTTAAACACAATGGAGTACTATTCTGCCATAAGGAAAGATACACTTGAGGTACTTATAGGCAAAAGGATTCATCTTGAGATCTAATATTAAGTGAAATAAGTCAGATGCACAAGCTCAAATATTGCATGGTTCTCTCATTTAAAGACAAAATATAGGGGCTGGGGATTTAGCTCAGTGGTTTCGCTGCCTGCTGAGCAAGTGCAAGGACCTGAGTTCGATCCCTGGTACCAAAAAAAAAACCAAAATATAAATAAAGAGCAAAAGGAAAGATGGATAGAAGTAGGGAGATCTTTTTCAAGAGATGGATGGAGGGGAGGGAGGGAAGGGAAAGAGGCTGAAAAAAGAATTGATTTCTGTTATGTACATATATCAACTCCCCACAATGTAAATAATGATTGTTTAATGTAAACATGTACTAATAAAAAATAGAAACTGTAAAAAATAAAAGCTGAATACACTCTGCAAAAAAAAATTCTAATTTAAGAAATACAGAAAACACACATACCTACAACATGCAAACACATGATGTAGGGATATTTTCTTTAGGTCCCCAAACTTTGCTGTACATTCTCAAATTTTCAACACTTATAGAGCTTTAAAAAATCCAAATGCCCAGGTCACAGCTCAGAAAAATCAAATGGGAATGTTGAGCCAGGCATAAGGCATCCATATTTTTAATAGATCTCAGATGATTCCAATGTGAAATAAAGTCTGAGGGCTACCATTTTAGGGAAAAGTCTGTGACTGTCTCTATTATCAAATTAGTAACTTAATTTGCTGCTGTTATAGGTGGTTTTAAGTCTCTAACTTCCCAGACTGAGTGAATTACTATGCAAAGCTTCTCAGCAATCATCTGCAATCTGCAAAATGCCACCTTTGTACAGGGACAGAAAGAAGTTGACATGTTATAGATGACTTGAAGAAAAAAGGAAGGAGATAATATTTGATTTCCAAATTCCTTCTAAAGGTTACTCGTGAAAAACTGAGTAATTCAGATTAGCTAAAAGCTGTCACTGAAATCACAAATAGCATGAAAATGATGCATATTTCACAAGGCACACCCTTCTACCTAGGGGTATTTCCATTTTGGTATACCACAAACTACCAACAACCGTAACTGTTTCTTGAATCCCAATAGGGATTCCAGAAATGTACAGAAGTCTCATATAAATTCAAGGTGTGCTTGTAGACTCACATGAGAGAAAAAGTATATAGGTTTCCACAGTTTCTCAAAAAGGTAAGATTCAACAGATGGGATCTGGTTTATAAAGTTCATTCAGAACCTCAGCTTCTCAACCTATGTGTCCATCAACAGATGAACGGATAAAGAATATGTGATGTATATATACACAATGGAGTACTATTTGGCCATACAGAAGGATTAAATTCGAGTCATTTGTAGGAAAATGAATGAACCTTGATATCAGAAGGCTTATGATGAAGCCCATAGTAGAAATAATTCAAAGAGGAAAATAAAAGATAGATTACAGAAAATAGGATAGATCTTTTTCAAATGGGAAGGGTATCTGGAGATGGAGGGAACGGGAAGGGAGAGGAGAGGAAAGGGAAATAAAAAGGATTATTATGTTTTATATACATGTATCAACTCCCCAGAATGAATGTATTCATAATGTACTGCAACCATGTATTTTTTTAAAAAAAAAAAAAAGAACTTCTGGTTCTCTAGCCACTTTTCCCATTCTGAGACCAAACTTGAAGGAAGTAACTGTTCTACTCTTTTCTGCTCTTAATGGGGACAGGTACAGATTAGCAGAACTGAATTCAACATTTTGGGACTACTTTTTAAATACAGTGGTGCCTTGGTTCACAAACTTAATTTGTTCTATGATTTTGGAAGAGATGGCCACATTTGTGTTTGTGTGAGAAAGATGGCTGCACTTGCTGTATGTCACTCAATGTAGTTTGCAAACAAAAACAAAATTTTGCCACACAGTCTGTTTGTGAACCAAGTTGTTTGCAAACAAAAATGTTGATGAACCAAGCCACTACTTTAATGGGCCCATAAATTGTTAGAACACAAAACTACTGTTTAGTAACATGACTTACCTTATGGCACATGTAAGATCCACCTTTCTTCACCCGGTCTTTCCCAGAAGGGGGGCCTTTCTACGGATGAAGAGAAAATAGTTTGTTAGTATAGACAACACAGATGCTCCTCACACAGTAGGAGAGAGTGCCTTTTGTTGCCATCTGTTTCATGGTTACTTAAACTTCCGACATGCATTTGTGCCCACGGACATTACACCTATACACTCTCAAGTGTCCACGTTCCCAAATGCCCTCCTTCCCACCATCTGCAGCCCAATTCTAGCTCCCATTCTTCTGTGAAGTCTTCGTGACTACAGGAAGCAATCCTACCTCTAAGCCTCTAGCATTTCTTGCCTAGATGACTAGTAAGTTGCTCGGCAGCATCTCTTACCTTATCTCACTGATACACAAATTTATCCTGCAATATAATTGGCTTGCACAATCAGATGGCAAGCTTCTTTAAAAAGTTACACGCTTTTTATAAGCCCACCATGTGGGAGTGTCAACTGGTGCAACCACTGTGGAAATCAGCAGGGAGATACCTCAAAGAATTAGGACTGAAGTCCCATTTGACCCAGCTATTCCCCTGCTGGGAATCTTTCCAAAAGAATTAAAAGAATCATACCACAGTGATATATGTGCACCCATTTTCATAGCAGCACAATTTGTAATAGTTAAAACTTGGAAACAGCCCAAATGCCCATTAACTAAAGACTGGATAAAGAAAATGTGGTTTTTTAAAAAAACGGAGTACTACTCAGCCATAAAAAATGAGAAATTAGAGACATTTATAGCTAAATGGATGCACATTGAGGCGA